GTTAGATACAAGTTTGATATCTAGGCTTGATCTATAGGTCAACATATCAATAGGATTAGACATATAATTAGATATAAGTTTGATATAAAGGCCTAATCTATAGATCAACATATCAATAGGGTTAGACATATAATTAGATATAAGTTTGATATATAGGCTTTATCTATAGGTCAACATATCAAAAGGGGTAGACATATAATTAGATACGAGTTTGATATCTAGGCTTGATATATAGGTCAACATATCAATAGGATTAAACATATAATTAGATATAAGTTTGCTATATAGGCTTGATCTATAGGTCAACATATCAATAGGGTTAGACATATAATTAGATACATGTTTGACTAAAGTTTGACATTTTCAGGTATGAAGTTGACATATGTAAGACATGTGAATAACATATCTAGGTTGATGTACAATGTTAGGATTGATCAACCAAGACAATTAAGGAATGGGTGAGATCAATATAGAATTGACCTATCCAGATATGAGGTTGATTTATGAAGTCAACATCCTGTAGTACAGCTGTCAGGTCATCACATCTAACTGTTTGATGATAAACTCCCAGTAATTACTGGTTATCACAACAAGTGTGACTATCTCAGAGGATTTGAAAACGTGGGTTTGTGTAAACGTTGCTCTATCAGATAATTGGTGGTATAGATTTATTAGATGACTAGATATATTACTGCGTAAACACAATAAAACAGCTGACAATCTACTCACCATCACAATGACAGTGATCAATTGATTACATTATATATGTCATTTGTACAGCACAAATACTGTGTAGTAAAACTTCGTCAGCATTACAAGTGATTTTTCTAAGTTGACCTAAAACAAAGATTAAGTGATCTAGAAGCATTTGACCTATTTGGATAACTAAATTCATTTTGGAAAAGTCTTTAAATTTTAAAGGGTAGTCTTCAACATCTAAATAAAAAGGAAAGGAAGTGAAGATATCCGTGAAATAAATAACCAAAAGGTTATTTGCATGTCCTGATTTTGATTCCTAATTCTGTATGAGTGTTACCTTCCACTGTTTGACCTCTTCTGTATCTGTTTGTCCCATTTACCATCTGTTGATCCATTCTCTCTTTTTGTCCCCTTCTTCTGTCTCTTTTTCTCAGTTTCCATCTGTTTGTCAATTTTAACTGTTTCTGTTTTTCCCTTTCACTCTCCATTTGTCCCCTTTTCTCTGTGTCCCTTGGTTCCATTCTATCTGTCTGTTTGTCATGTTCCATCTTTCGTTCCCTTGTCTTTGTTTGCCTCTTTGCCCTCTATCTGTTCCTTACTGTTTCTCTGTTTGTCCTATTCTCCATTTGTCCCTTTTTATACGCCCGTCGAAGACGGGGACGTATTATGTTATCACGTGAGCGGGCGGGCGGGTG